ATTCGACTGAAAAACAAGTAAACTTGTGGCAGCTGCTCACGTCTCCTCTTGTAAATGCACATGATCCAAAATGTGTAAATTTTGTACCAAATAAATAGATGCTCCCTTTGAGGGATATTGTGTGCATATACACACATGATTGAAGTTGTAAAAGTCAGTTGCAACAATCCAGCTAATTTTTTCAAAAGGTAGCCTATTTCGTTCTTTGTTCTTCAAGAGGAAATTTTATCTGTCACCTTCCTTTGCGTGGAAAAATCAAAAAAATTATATGATGTATTTATTTATATTATTTATCTACTTCATAAAAGGAATGAAAATCCAAAATTTATTTAATGTTTTGCACGGTTTAAGGTTTTACAGGGCCTTAGTTTCGGTGAGTTGTAAACAATTTAGTACTGTTTTTTAATTGAACATGTTTATTAAAGCTAGAAAGTTCTTGGTTAAATTGGTTCAAAGTAGTGTTCCACAAGTCTCCAAATTATTATTATTAATAAAACAAAACCTCCTAAAGGTATGCTCATAACTTTTTGTTTTGCACCACCTAAAATATGTTAACATTTGCCATGGTGCTTGTCTTTACTAAGTTTTATTATTTTCGAATGGGATTTCATTCATTTTTTTATTAGCAGATGGCACTAAATGTCATTTCAACAGTTAAATAGTTGCAGCTAACAAAAGATGGTGCTGCTCATATTAAATTTTTCTTCACAATTGACTAATAAATCGCATTGAAATAAGGGTGAGATAAAAATTCTGCAACACAGTCAAAAATAGAGTATCCGATCGATTAATCGGAGAATTTTTTTCGAATAATTTTTTCGATTAAGAAAAATTAGTAAATTTGGAATAATGAAAAATTGATCATTTTAAATGAATCGATCTAAGATATTTTAAATAAATTCTTATTTTTTATATAAATGGCCGAGGCTGATCGGCCTGGTCTAGTCGATGGCGGCTTTTGTATACTTATAAGTTTATGGTTAACTTTCATGACACACATTCATTTGAAGAAAGTTGAAAATTTATATGAAATATATATAAATTTAATTCAATCATTTGTTAAGGAAAACATAAAAAATTATATGTATGTCCCAATGTTTAAAAACGTGTGTGTTCCTCCATTTCTACTCATATTTATCATTGGAGCCAAGCGCATAATACAACTAGTATGGATGAAGAACCAATAACATATGCTAAAGTCGCAACTGAAATATATATATATATATATATATATATATATATATATATATATATATAATTATTCGAAAAAAATTCTCCGATTAATCGATCGGATACTCTACTTTTTAACTTTGTTGTAGTGGGTAGTATATATATATATATATATATATATATATAAAGATCTCACTAGAAATATTTTAAATGAAAAAGATCTCATTTTGTGTGGACCTAATTATTTTTATTAAACGTTGTTGAACTCACATGAATTATTATTTTATGTTTTTTTTTTTTTTTTTTTTTTTTTTTTTTTTTTGTAAAAAATTTTTCACTCCACTTGTTTTTTTTTTTCACGTAAGGTATACAGAAATTACTCGAGTTGTTCGACTATTCGATAAATCGAATTATTCGAACAATTTAGAACACTTAATCGATTAATCGATCATATTAAAAACCCCAAAATCGAATAATTTTTTAATCGAACAAAACCTAAACAGAATGAATTGAATACTCTAGTCAAAAGCCATAATTTTTACATTTTTTTTTCAATTTCATTGAATGAAAGCAAAAAATGTCGGAAGTAGCATCAAATTTTAGAAGAAGTTTACATTTGTTCGAATTGGTCACCTTCGGCATGAATTATGGCCTTCAAACGGCCAATGAAACCGTGACACGCTGCCCGAATGTTGCTCTGCGGTGCATTGGACCATTCCCGGCGCAGTGCTTGCTTGAGGTGTCTGCGGCCAAAATGTTTGCGTGCCCAATGCTCTAATATACCCTTCAGCATATTTTCGCAATAATATTCGGCATTTATTCTGATGCCACGGTCGATTAATACGACGGGGAGCGACCATCGGCTGTTATGGCGGCCCACACCATCACCATGGCCGCCCCTTGAGTTCTGGTGGCCAACCGAAGGTGTACATTTTCAGCTGACCTCTTTGGCAAGTAAACACGATCATTTTGTTTGTTTACAAACTGCTGGACAACGAATGTTTTCTCATCGGAGAAAACCAAATTCGGCAGTTCACCACTTTCGGCCAAGGAAAGTAACTCTTTAGATCTTCTGAGTCTATTTTCTTTCTGTTTCGGGAGCTGAACATATCGCAATATTCCATTCGGTAAATATTAAAAAAAGGGCTTACCCCGAGCTCATTTTCACTTTAGCCATTTTTCGGCCATTGCGATGCGGATTTCGATCAAGTCGCTTCTTTACTTTTCGAACCATTTCTGCTGATGTTGGTGTTTTCTTTCGTCCTCTTCCTTGAAGCCGGGCTACGCTACCAGTATTACGGTAAAGAGCGATTTTATGAGACACAAAAGATTTATTCTGGAATGCTGGAGTGCTCTAACGATAGCCACTTGAGGTTTTCTAGCCAAATATAAAGAAATCACACTATCACATAAGTCTGGACTTTCGCGGTGAAGGTGGAGATTTCTCGGTTTCTGTACCGAATAATATTCCTATCAACGACAAAAAAATCCACATCTATCTGAGAAAGTTTAATTTCTTCTAGAGTTTTAACGAAAGCTTAGCTTTGACGGTTCCTATCAACGACGAAGAAATCCACATCTATCTAAGAAAATTTAATTTCTTCTATAATTTTAACGAAAGGTTAGCTTTGACGGTCGTACATAGAGAAAGTTTACTGATTATGAGAACCTTGTGAGTAAGAACGAGGAATAATCTTATGCATTCGACCAGTGAGGAATCTGCGATGCATACCCCGTCTCTTCAAGCATGGATACTATTCATAAAATGTTTTGAAATAAAAAAAACATGGTATTTTATGTAATAGCGTCAAATAATTTTATTGATTATTTTATAACATAAATTAACTAATTCATTATGCATATATTCGTTATGTGAGAATCGTTATTACTTTCTATTTATACATTAGCTATTTATAATTGATCTTATAAAAAAAATATATTATTATTATTATTATTATTATTATTATATTATTATTATTATTATTATTATTATTATTATTATTATTATTATTATTATTATTATTATTATTATTATTATTATTATTATTATTACAATAATAGGTCTACTACTGCTATAAAGAAAAACTGCTATTTGGACTACATAGCTGTCATTATAGTCTAAAATATTAAAACTTTATCGATTATGCTACATTACATTAAAAAATCGCTTAAAAATAATATACATAAAAATATTGCATATTTTGTTACTTATCAACTAAAACATTGCACATTTCCGGCCATTGACAACGGAAAAATTATCACATTTTTCATTCGAAAAACTAAAAACTATTTTAAATTAATCTAACAAAAAATTAACATTATACATTCGTGTTCTACTATGATTCGTTATATGGACTTATATAAATTTAGCCACAATAAAACAAATAGCTTCATTGCACTTGTTTGCTATAAAATTGCACATATATGTTATTATTCTACAACGAGAAAGATTAGTTAGCAAAGGTAACTCAGACTCATCTTTGTGGGATACAGTAGCTAACTGCGCAGCACTGTAAATATGTTAAGAATGTTAAAACTTGAAAAAAATTAAAGTTGTTCAAAGTTTTTTTGGAGAAATAATTTAAAAATCGAATATAACTGTGGTTGTGTTTAATGAAAGGAATAGAAGACAAAATAGAAAATGGGTAAGTCTAGCTAAGTCCTTTTGTGATTTTCTGTAAGCCTTTATACAAAAGATCTCATAAAGATCAAGCATTAAAGCTCTGTCTAAAATCCACCGTTAATACTTTCAATACATGTATATGGAAGACCTCCAAAAGCTGTTGTAAAGGTCTTCTACATATAGAAGACCGCTTAAGGTCTTTTATACATACATAGAAAATCATCTAAAGACCTCCTATAAAAGAAGACGTTCAAAAAAGTCTCATGTAGAAAGAAATCTTTAAAAGGTCTGCAATACATAGAAGACCTTTTACAAGTCTGGTGTACATAGAAGACCATCGATTGGTCTCCTAATCAAAGAATACCTAGTATATATAGAAGACATCCTAAAGGTCTTCCATACACATAAGAGCACCTAAAGGTCTTCTATAAACCTAACACTCCTTAACTCTCTCCTAAAGGTCTTCTATGCACATAATACCTATTAAAGGTTTTTTATACATAGAAGACCTTCTAAAGGTCGTCAATACATAGAATACCCCCTAAAGGTCTCCGACACATAGAAGACCTCCTAAATGTCTTATATACATAGAATGCCTCCTAAAGGTCTTACATACATAGAAGACCTTCTAAAGATCTTACATACATAGAAGACCTCCTAAAGGTCGTCAATACATAGAAGACCCCCTGAAGGTGTCCGACACCTATTAAATGTCTTATATACATAAAATGCCTTCTAAGACTTTTCTATAAATAGAACACCTCCTAAAGGTCTTCTATATACCTAAGATCTCCTACAGATCTCCTAAACACATAAGATCTCCTAAAGGTCTTTTATGCATAGAAGACCTCCTAAAGGTCTTCTATAAATAGAAGATCTCCTAAAGGTGTTATATACATAAAAGACTCCCTAAAGGTCTTCTACGCATGGAAGGACCTCCGGAACGTCTTCTGTACATAGAGGACATCCTAAAGTTCATCTATACATAGAAGGCCTCCAAAAGCTATTCTATACATATAAGGACTCCTATACACATAGGGCCTCCTAAATGTCTTCTATACATATAGGACCTCCTAAAGGTCTCTTATACATAGAAAACCTCCTTAAGGTCTTCTATACTTAAAAGACGTCCCAGAGGTCTCCTATGTACATAAGAGTTCCTAAAGACATTCTATACATAGAAGACCTACTAAAGACGTTCTATAGACCTTCTTTAGATAGGAGACCTCGTAAATGTCTTCTACACATAAAATATCTTCTAAAGTTCTCCAATACATAGAAGACCTGCTAACAGTCTTGTGTTCATAAAAGAGAAACGATTCGAATATCTAGAATACATCTTAAAGTTCTTCTATCCATAGAAGACCTCATAAATATTGTTTGTATAAAGAAGGTTTTCTATATATAGAAGGTGCCCTAAACGACTCCTATAGATTTTCTACACATGGATGAAGGTTCTCATATACATAGAATACTCCCAAAAGGTCTTATAGACATAGAAGACCTCTTCTGTGGGTCTTCGGTTTTCCTGGGTATAAAAGATTTCGTAAAAATCTTCTGAGCGTAGGAAACCTTTTCTGGGAGGAAGGATATTAGTTAAGAGAGGTTTAGAGGTTCATTACAAACCCATTCCCATATGTTTTCCATTAGCCTAAAATTCACTAACCTCCTTCTCTAAACTTAAGAATCTATTTCTATGATTTTCAATGCAGAACATTTTGTTTTCTATAGAACATATATACACACCTCTAAACTATGCACTTAACTCTTGGAAAAAAAAAAAAAAAACTAATCCTACATCCTAGTCAAACTTTTCCCTCACTCTCATCTCTCCATTGATTTACGAACATTTTTATACAAAACTGAATGTGTCTCCACACTTTCCGCTCCCGATTCCCACATATCTTCGGGATTGGTTTCTCCGTCCGTTTCGGATGAACCATAGCTGGTGGTAGGATGATCCTCATCCTCCTCGTCATCCGATGTATAGGTGGTTGAGGATGATGAACGTGTTGTTGATTGATCTTGGGTATTGGAACGTGTCAGGGTTTTATCCGAGTCATTATCGCTGTCGTTGTCATCATGTCGTCCTCCATCGTGCCCATCGCCCACCTTGTCCTCATCATCATCATCGTCGTCTTCTACCCCCAATTCAATGCTATTACCCAGTTCCTGTTGCTGTTCATTGATGTGTTCGAAATCCTCAAAACGACTGTTGTCCTGGGCAGCCCTCTGTTGATCCGTTGAGGTACTTTCAATATCGGAATTATCTTCGATGGTGTCGACACGTATTATGTGATCCCTTCCCGACATGAGTTTGAAATTGTAGCGATCATAAAAACTGCGCTTCAGGGCCTCTCCGGAATCCGCACTCATATAACCACTGTCCATTTCCTGCAAAGGCCTGGAACCAAAGCGTTGTTCATAGTAATTTTGACTAGCCGGCGCCGAGTAGGTACTTTTCGGTGAGGACACCCTGGGTTGTCCCTCTATCAACGAAGATATACCCTCATCCCTTTCGAGGGCATCGAGTATTGAAGAGGTAGTTTTCTTATCGAATGGTGGCGCCGGACTTTGGGTGGGACTAAACTTCGAGGCGGCCATGCTGACAAATTTCTTCCAGGCATTTTTAATATCTTTGGCTTTTTTCGGTCGATCCTTGAGACCCATGGCGATTTGCATGCCATGCGTCAGCTGGACCGGTTCGATTTCACACCGATAGACTGTTTGAACATTTGTTGTGGCTTGAGTGGGTGTGGGAGGTGTAGTAGTGGTTTGATTTGACGCCGTTGTATTGGCTGTGCTGCGCTGAGGATAGGCTATACCCACTGGGACTCCAGCATTGCGATACATTTCCTTGGTACGATCCGAGAGGCGGCTGCTGCTGCGATTCGAGCGAGAACTAAGCGAGATGACATCGAGTTTATTGGGATCCATGTCGGAGGAATTTTTTAGATTGTTATTTGTCTCCAATTGAGGTGAGTCCATGGGTGTGGTTTTGTGAGAATTCTCTCCCGAAATTTCAATTTTCTCTTGAGATTTCCGGCGATTCAAATATTTATTTAGGCTATAGTCATTTCGCAGACCCTTGATTTGGGTATTAAATATGGCACCATAATCCTCTCCCTTTAACTTTTTCACCGCCTGGCTGGCTTCGGTGGAGGGTTGGTTGTCCTCCGATTCGTGGGGATTTGAATTATTGGATGAACTATCTTCTCCTTCCTCCTCCTCTTCTTCCACCTCTTCGTTACATGTGGAGGGTAAATTGGGTTTCCTTATGGAACCACCAAACTCCGAATTGGTCATGGTCCCCGATATGCCCGTAACTTCGGTACATTCACTGTGATTGCTGAGCGTATCCTCCTCGGTGGCTGATTGATTGACATTGTATTGCCTGGTTTGGGAGCTGGACCGACTTGTGCGACTATTTAAAGTCGTTGAGGCTGAGGTAGTTGGCGGTGGTGGTGGCGGCGGCAGTGGTGAACTGGAAATGCTTCGCTTTCTGGGTGGTGTGGGTGTAATACTGGGACTTCGAGCAGGCTTGGGTGAGGAAGAGCTTTTCCTTGAGGAAATTTCGTCCATGGATCGTGTTTGGTGTATCCTTGGCTCCACATATTCGGTGGGTCGTTTTTCTCCTCCGCCTCCTGCCCCCTCTCGTTTGGCCTTGGGGGTGAGTATTTTTATGGTACATTTATTGGGGCTGTCATTGGAAATTTCCACCACCGGCGGTGGTGTTGGTGGCTCACTGGGTCTTTGGCGTCGTGAGTGTTTGGCCTCGAGGGTAAGTATCCTCCCCCTCTCCGTTAGATCTTCCAACTGCTCCTGCAAATACAAACTGGTGGCCTTGCCACCACATTTACAGCTACAATCACTGTTCTGTCGTACCAGTAATGACTGATAGATTTCCCTTAAATTATTGACATTTTGTTTGGCCTCCTCCACATCGTGGTTCTGCGTGCATCCCCTCCTCAATTCCACCTGACTTTCGTATGCTGAATCTCGACTATTTTTACGCAGAGAACAGTCTGTGCCGTTAGGGTTCTGGGGTTTGAGACGAAATGAATTCTTCCCCGACAGATCCATCATGCTCGCAGTAGATGCTGTTGCGGATGCCCCTGGTGCTGGGCGTTGATGATGATGATTCAAATCGGGCAAAGATTGCGGAGGTGAACTAACCTCTTTTTTAATATCTGAAACACTGGACCAATTACTGACATCACAGAAACTCTGTTTCTTCGGCTTACGATCCAGCGTATCGGGTTCATATTGATCGCTGTCCGTGGATCTTTCCAAGTCTGAGGGTGGTTCATGTTCCACCTCTATGGTCATGCTGCCACGAAATGGCGTATCATATTTTATTCGCGCCGCAATATCCTTTTGCATGCTATTCGTATCCATGGCTCGGAGCATTTTCTTTTGATTGCTGTTCAGGGTTTTGCTCTGAAATGTTCCACCCTCATGGCCGAAGACGGTATGGCTGATTTCCAATTCCTCCTCCAAAGGAAGGGCAGTACTGAGGCTAGGACTTAGCTGAGAGCTGACATCCGATGAGGGTGATGAGGAGGATTGTGAAGATTTACGCTTCGTTGACTCCAAACGTTCCAGGCTATCGGTTTCATAGTCCACAATTAGGTATTGAGGAGATTTCCTGCGGTAAATTGGGGAGTCCGGTTGATATTGTTTCAGCGATCTACGACTCAAGGAGCTGTAGTCCGGAGTGGGCACTGAGGGCACACTTCCTTGGGTGTTGTTGTAAATATCTTTGATTTTCTTTTCCATGGTACTGTCATAGTCCGGTGTGGGTATATCCACATGGAAACTGCTATTCGACCTCAAGGTGGCCGTATATTCCTTGATCAAGGCATCTGCATCCAGGGACTCATTCATTTGTTCCATATTCCTTAACATGTGATAATGCTGCCGCTCCGCCGATGTCAGGGAGGTGGGTGTTGAGGCCGCTGCATATTGATCCAGGACATCCAAACGTTTACGCGATGTCTTGGAACGTTGAGACGAACTGCGGCTGCGTTGAGAAGCTGACGGTGAATCGTGCAGCGTAAATTTGGGATTGTTGTAAAGTTCACCACCCGTCTCAGCATAGCCATACATATAAGCTGAGGCCGTAATGGCGGAATAGGTTTCCAATTTGTGATGCAAAATGGGAATGTTCAAGGAATTCTTGGGTTGGGCAGGTTTTTCATAATTCTGGAAATTAGAGTCATTATCATCCTGTGCAGTGTGGTCCTGTATTTCCTCTTTCTCCACTTCATTGTTTTTACTTCTACCCTGGTTATTTGAGGAAGTTCCCTGTGATTTCTGTGTGGGTGGTGGTGGTGGCCTTTGTTTGGGCGCCATTATATCTTTGTGTCCTCTTCTGGCAGACGCTGTATTTCCCGCTGCCGGCTTATTACCACTTTGCGATGACGAAGATTTTGAACCCCTAGGCGATTGACGATCTTTTTCCGGACTAGGTGTCACGTTCTCCCGTTGATTATTCGCTGGCGGGTTTGAATTTTGATTTTCTTCATTGAGATTAACCGTTTCCAGCCATTTTTCAATGGTATTCCGTTTATCACCACAATTCTTGACATGGCCACTGCAACGGTTGTTGGCACAGGCCTGACAGGCATCACCTCCTTGCACCTGTGAACCAAAAAGGCTGGGCGTATCCGAACGTGCCGTGCTCTCCTCGGGAATCATAATCAACGAGGGCTGATAACGCTTGGCCGCCATTTTGTATTTGGCTATGGCAATGACTTCGCGGATTTTTTGCAAAAATTCCAAAGCGGCTGGAGGAGGTTGCTGTAAAGATCACCCCAAAAAAATTCATATTTGAAATATTATTTTCCAAAATACCCGACTGTACTCACCGCCAATAAATGTGGCTCAAAATAGGCCGGATTGAAATACAATTTCTTGCGCACATTGCCATTGACCATGGCCCGTAAATTTTCCAATTTCTCCTCTGTCATAATATCCTCAATAATGGCCACATTTTCCTGGGGCAAACATTCCGTTTCTTGGCTGCTGGAAGCACCATCTAAATTATCCTCATTCGTGGAGGTGCTGCTTCCATTGCCATTACCATTTCCATTACTGGAGGAGTGATGAGAACCCTTGGGTGAATCACTGCTGCCATTTTGCATCATGCCCATTTGAGGATGGATCAAGACATTGGTTTGCATCTACAAAGAATTCGAAAATAAATTCAAATAATATTCCCTAGCGTTCTCCTCCCTCTCTTACCTGTTTCATTTTATCATGATAGCCACCATCCATTTCACATTCTGAAGCGGAATTCGAGATATCGCTGGTAAAGCCCGAATGATGATCACTGAGCTGGGGGAAATGTTGCAGCAAAGGATTGTTTTTAACAATACCCATTTCCTCCTTCAAACTGCTCAGACTAGCCCTGGATCTCGGTTCATTAGAGGTGGTCATACTACCCACCGAATACAGACTACCACTGCGTGTAAACGGCGCTCCAAAAGTCACCTGATCGTTTTTCGGATAATTGATTTCATTGGCCAAATCGTCGAGAGAGTTACGCATGCGTGGTTGTTCCCGACCTTTGCGCTTCTTCATATGGAGATACAGAAAGACCGAGGAGACATAGATGAGACCTAGTAGTAGGCTGCAAACGCCAATGACAATATATTCCTTTGTAGACATGCCATCCGACGTTGCAGCCAATGTCGTGGTGGCCTCCGATTGAAAAAGCACCTCAGAGACATCTGTAGGAAAAGGGGGAGAAGATAAATAGAAATGCGATTAAATCTAGGAGAACTCTTGAATATAGAAATCTTCAGAAGAATTTTACGGTAATAGACATTTCCTCTGAATGGTTCCTTTGTAGCGAATTCCTTCTGAAGGTCTCCTACCCACAGAAGACCTTCTGAAGGTGTTCCGTACAGAATGGACCTTCTGAAGTTCTCCTATATAGAGAAGACCTTCGGAAGACCTCAAATACAAAGAAGACCTTCTGAAGGTCTTCTATGCAAAAAAGGCCTTCTGAAAGTCTTTCGTACAGAATAAACCTTCTGAAGGTTCCTATACAAAGAAGACCTTCTGAAGGTCTCCTACACAAAGAACACCTTCTAAAGGTCTCCTACAATAAGAAAATCTTCTCAAGGTCTCCTATACGAAGAAGACCTTCTGAAGGTCTCCTATACAGAGAAGATCTTCTGAGGTCTTCTGTACAGAATATCCCTACTGAAAGTCTTCTATGCAGAAAAGACATTGCGCAGGTCCCTATACAGGAAAGACCCTCAAAAGGTCTTCTACAAATAGAAGACATGTTTAAAGTCTCCTATGAAGAGAATACCTTCTTAAGGTTTTCTATTAAGAGAAGACCTTCTAAAGGTCTCCTATAAGGAGAAGACCTTCTTAAGGTATTTCATTAAGAAAATAACTTCTTAATGCCTCCTATAAAGAAAATACCTTCCATATGTCTCCTATAAAGAGAAGAAGTCTTAAAGTCTTCTATAAAAAGGAGACTTTCTAAAGGTGTCCAATAAGAAGAAGAATTCTTAAAAATCTCCTGTAAAGAGAAGACCTTCTTAAGGTGTTCTATAAAGAGAAATTTTTCCCATAAAGAGAAGAACTTTTAAACGTTTCCTATAAAGAGAAGACCTTATAAAGGTCTTCTGGAAGAGAAGACCTTTTAAAGGTCTTGTATGAAGAGAAGGCCTTTTAAAGGTCTTCTATGTAGAGAAGACCTCCTTTAGTTTTCTATGGAGAGAAGACCTTCTAAAACCCTTCTATGAAGAGAAGGTTCAAAATATATCTTCAGAACACACAGTAGCCGACACTGTATGCGACAACAATTTGAAGACGTTTTTTCTCTGTAGGTCTTCTTTATGCTTCTGAAGATTACCACCATTCTGTTGCGCGTTTCCCAATCTCTTGGACATAATTTCCTTCTTCAATATTTTCAGTTTCCCAATAACTTTTCATTTATTTCTCTTCTGATCTTTTCCCACACAACCTTTGCGAAAACAATCAAAATAAACATTTTCCTAGGGGTCATAACATTTCTACATGGCACCTACAACCACCACCACCAGCATTTGGGATGACACCGACCAATAATTCCAGCTATTCACACTTTCCTTGGGTGCTTTGGGAAAGCAACAAACATACTTACTGTTGGCAAATTTTACAGGACTACCATTGACACGAAATGCAACACAAGGTGAAAAAACATTTTTCGGCGGCATAATATGATCTATGGGAAGAAGAAGGAGAATGGGGAACATAACAACAAATAACTTGTTTTTCAAATCAATACCAGCCATCTATGGTGCTGGGAGAAATCAAATGAAATATTAACTTACCACTTGTGGAAGACATATTCAGCGGCAGAGTCATATCACGACACACCAGATGTACAACAATAAGGCGACCTTGCATTTTATGCCGGAGATCGGCTTCACCCAGCCACTGGAAGGTAAGGAGGAAATGAAAAATGAAAAATAAATAAATTAAAAACTAATAAGTAACAAGTTAAAAGGCAGTAAGTTCGGCTGGGCCGAACTTTGGATACCCCACACCATTTGGAACGAATTTGGCAATTTTCAAAAATAAAATAAAATCATCCTCAAATCTTAAAACTACCGAAAAAAATTTGGTGAATAATGTAGTCATAGCTATACCAAAACGTGGACCTGCGCAGAGAACTTTTTGTCATAGGCTGTAGTATACATTACGAACTTTAAATACCAAATTTGAAATAATTCACTAAAATACCGAATATCGGGAGGCACCGTTGTATGTGGTCTATACGAAGACGTGGACCAGCAGAGACAATTTTCTATTCTAGGCTGTAGTATCCATTACGAAATTCAAGTACCAACTTTGAAACAATTCCAGTGAATAATGTCGCTAAAATCATCAAAATACCGAATATCGGGAGGTACCGCTTTATGTGGGAGCAATACGAAGGTGTGGACCTGCACAGACAATTTTCCTTTTTTGCTGTATGAACTTTACGAACGCCAAATTTGAAACACTCCGGTGAATAATGGCGCTAAAATCAGCAAAATACCGAATATCGGGAGGTACCATTAAATAGGGGGCTAAACGAAGGCGTGGACCTGCACAGACAATTTTCCTTTTTTAAGCTGTAGTATCCATTACAAACTTCAAAACATCAAACTTGAAACATTCCGTGAATAATGTCACTAAAATCATCAAAATACCGAATATCGGGAGGTACCGCTTTATGTGGGAGCAATACGAAGACGTGGACCAGCAGAGACAATTTTCTATTCTAGGCTGTAATATCCATTACGAACTTCAAGTACCAACTTTGAAACAATTCCGGTGAATAATGTCACTAAAATCATCAAAATACCGAATATCGGGAGGTACCGCTTTATGTGGAAGCAATACGAAGACATGGACCTGCACTGACAATTTTCTGTCTTAGGCTGTAGTATCTATTAAGAGCTTCAAATGCCAAATTTTAAACAATTCCGGTGAAAAATGTCGCTTAAATAAATAAAATACCGAATATCGGGAGGTACCGCTTTATGTGGGAGCAATACGAAGTCGTGGACCTGCAAAGACAATATTCTATTTTAGGCTGTAGTATCCATTACGAACTTCAATTACCAACATTGAAACAATTCCGGTGAATCAAAATACCGAATATCGGGACGTACCGCTTTATGTGGGAGTAATACGAAGACATGGACCTGCACTGACAATTTTCTGTCTTAGGCTGAAGTATCTATTAAGAACTTCAAAATACCAAATTTGAAACAATTCCGGCGAATAATGTCGCTTAAATCATCAAAATACCGAATATCGGGAGGTACCGCTATATTTGGGGCCATACGAAGACGTAGACCTGCACCAATTTTTTGTCATAGGCTGTAGTATCTATTAAGAACTTCAAATACCAAATTTTTAACAATTCCGGTGAAAAATGTCGCTTAAATCATTTCGTTCAAAAGCTGGAGTAAATTCCACAGACGGAGAGGCGGTCAGACGGACGAAATCGCTATATCGAAATAGAATTTTATGAAAATATATACTTTGTAGAGTTAAAATGTATATTTCGAGGTGTTACAAACGAAATGACAAACTTAATATAACCTCCATATCCTCCTCAAAGCTCAAGTTTTCTTTAAAAAATACATATTTTATAGATATGTTTTCATTCAATTGCCTTAATTTATTTAATATTTCCATGAGTTATCAATTTTTGGGTTCCAGACCATTCCAACCCCTTGTGAATGTGGATAAAGCGATAATTCGAAGGTAATTATAAAGATCAGCCATTGACAGTCGACCGCTATCGCACACAAACACTTACACGCACACACCGCTTACCACCACCAAGATAAAAGACTTAAGCGACAAACTTTGCTACGCATTAAGACGCGACACTTTCTGGCTGACTGACAGACCCAACTGACTTTCATTAAAACAAAATTAAACCGTTTATAAAACAAACAAAAAATGAAGTTACAACTTTGTCACGCAATGGGGAGTTCAGTTTTTGTAACAAATTTTCTTTTAAATGAAATGATTTTCATTTCATTGTGTCTCTGGCGAAACAATAAAATTAAAAAAAAAACTGTTAATATTGTTTTTTTTTAAGCGGTTCGTCTAAAATTGTGTGGCTGTCGGTTTTGTTTGCGGTTAGTGGCCGCCATTCAACCCACTTACTTAGTTTTCTATAAAGACACTCATTTGTTTTAATATCGTATCTTTTGCTGTTATAATAATTGGTTGCATTTACAGCTGCAGCAGATACAACAACAACAAATGTTATATTTGTTGGCGGCAACCACACGCAATTTATTTGTTTGTATTTCGGTGTTTCATTTTTTTTGGTTTTAAATTTTCTTGTAAACTTGACATGAAATTAGAGAAAATTATTCACGCTTTTCCATTATTTACCTGTAAAAATGTTCGCCCCTCATCACGAAACATCCGAAAGGGGTAATCGTTATCGATGGGATTGCGTAGATCCGACCAACCATTTGTGGTCAGATATTGGGCTCCAGTCACCGCACAGACGGGGGTTCGAATATCTGGGGGAGCAGTGAAAAGGAAATAATTGATTTACGGTTATTATAGAGAGATGAAAAAATAGATTTAAAATTAATTTAATTTTGTTTTCAATATTAAAAGAATTAATATTTATAAGTAGGGCTCACCTGCAAAACTAATTTCTCTGCTGGGATAAATAATTTGGCCCCTGAGCGGCAGAAAGACATAAGGAATTTTCTCCGACGATGAACCACTAACAAATGGTGACAAGGAGCACTCTGTAAATAAGAGTAATTTAAATAAATATCTCATTTAGATGAGTGTATAAAATGGTTTCAATATATTTCTTACAAGAGTCTGTTAAAAACAAAACATTGAATTTGATATTACTAAAAGGATATTTATGTATTCATTTATTTGTTTGTTGCTTTTAAAGAGAAAAAGGCATAACAAACAGTTGGAGCTTTTATACATTCAAAGTACGATTCACGTTTTGAGTAAGACCACTTTTTCAGATTTTAAACAAATTAAAAGTTTTGCGATGTTTCTAATCCTCTTCAGAAAAAAAAAATCAGAGCATTTTGTTAGTCCTGCATAAGATTAAATCTAAGCAACAGAAAAAATACCATGATGAAAACTTAAATTGAAGTCATATCCTAAAATCGGATGGAACCATTATATAAGGGTTATTTCCAGACTTAATTCAACATATATAATTTTTTTTTTAGTGAATTCTTATTCAACATGAATCCAAATTATAGACAATTCGGGTGGAAATTGTGGTTGAAACAGTCAAATTGCCGAAAATAAAGAAGCATCGCTAAAAGTGGTATATAGCAAATATTGAACATGGATGTTGAAAGTTGTAGTATTGTTCTTAGCATGTTAGTAGTATATGGGGCTACTAGCTGAACCCGCCCCTTGCGGGAAAATTTGTCATACATAGCATGTCTGGTGCATCAAATACACTAAAACTGCCGAAAATATATATGGGAGCTATATCTAAATCTAAACCGATTTCAATAAGATTTGACAAATAAATTTTCAGACCAAATTCCATCACACCATCCAAAACTTACACCGCAACTGAAAAAAATAGACTCAAAAGAGCTAAAGAGTTGCCTCGCTTGACCGAAAGTGGTAAAGTCAGTCCAAAGAGGCCAGCTGAAAATGTGCAACTTCGGTTGGCCACCAGAACTCAAGCGCCGGCCATGGTGATGGTATGGGCCGCCATAATAGCCGATGGTCGCTCTCAGCTCGTATTAATCGACCGTGGCATCAGCATAAATGCTGAATTTTGTGCGAAAATATTCTGGAGGATGTATTAGAGCCTTGGGCACGCAAACATTTTGGCCACAGACCTTGTACATTCCACATGACTCAGCCCAATCGCACTCAGCACGCGCAACCCAAGAATGGTTACAAAATGAGGTTCCTCGCTTCATTTGCAGCGCACAATGACCACCAAAATCTCCGGATACCAATCCCTTGGACTATTGTGCCTGGAGTATTTTGAAAAGCAAGGTTGGCACTAAAAAATACCAATGCGTCAATCACCTCAAGCAAGCGCTTCGCCGGGAATGGGCCAAAATACCGCAGAGCAATTTTGGGGCAGCTTGTGGCGGTTAAATTGGCCGCTTGAAGGCCATATTTCGTGTCAAAGGTGACCAATTCGCACAAATCTAAATTTTTGTAAAGGTGATGCTATTACTGAAATTTTTTGCTTTCATTCAATAACATTTAAAAAAAAGTATGTCGTTTGACTTTGTTGCAGCCCGACGGACGCCCAGCGCTAAGTCGAGTTACAACGATACGCTAATCATGAATGTAGCACATAACAATATAGGGACGTGTGATAATAAACATCTGAATCTACCCCAAATTTTTAAATATTAACTCTCTTAAATGGAGAAATCAATGTGCGATTTTCTTCAAAATTTGCCGTTCTAATATTTTTGTCTATGTTAGGGCAAATGTGCCTCCGCCACAAATGTTCAAACCTTTCGCAATATATCATTTATATATCTGACTTGTAATTGAACACACTACGGCATGGTTGCTAACATAAAGAGTTGTGTCAATTCACATATCTACATAAACAACTTGTCATATATTGTTGTTTTTCTTCGTTTATCTACTCCGATGCCGGGTTCAGAACTCTCAATCGTCGGTTTTGTACTCGGTCGCAAACAATCATTGTCGACATTACTCATCACTTTGTAACGAGAAAAGTACGTTCTTTTGCTTTTTATTTTTTAGAGGTAGAACCCATTATTTTCAATCAACAGGTAATGCAGATGATAGTTTGTTTACATTACCTTTTAATGCCTTGTTCGTCTTGTCAGCATCCGAGTGCGTGCTGTGTTTATTATACCCTCCACCATACATAGTTTGGAGGATATATTAAGTTCGTCCTTCCGTTTGTAACTCATCGAAATAATCATTTTAGACCCAACAAAGTATATATATTCTTGATCAGCGTAAAATACTAAGACGGCTTATCCCTGTCCGTCAGTCTGTCCCTCTGTTGTTATCAAGCACAGTCAAAACGAATTGAAATAGGAAGCTAAAATTTTGCACAGATCTCTCTTTTGTCTGCAGGCAAGCTCCACACAAAGAGTATCCTCCAAATAACTGTACACCCCGATATTCAGTATTTTGATACTTCCAGCCACATTTTTCAATCGAATAGGTCTACGATATCGTATAGCCCCCATATAACGGTACCCACCCGATATTCGAGATATTGATGATTTTAGCCACATTTTTTAACGGAATTCTACACAAGGAGTCTTTACCTCCAGAAATAGATTTGTCTATATAGGTCTACAATATCGTATTTCCACCCATATATCGGCGTCTTCTGGTGTTAGTTATTTTAAAGCTTTTAACAGAATTTTTAATGGATTTTATTTTTTTTTTTTTTTAACTTTTCCTAATTCGTTCCAAATGGTGGAGGGTATTCAAAGTTCGGCCCGGCCTAACTTACTGCTTCTTTACTTGTTTTATATTTAAGAAGCTGTACAAATTTCACTATTTATGCGAGTCAGAATGTGGCACTTTGTGGGAGAGGTACCAAAAGAAGTACACCGATCTATGTTGAATTTTTGCGGGGCATTACCGAAAAGGGACGATTGATATGGCTTATTTTCAAATAAGTGCTGTAAACAAGGTATCGAGTACATCCTTCACTTTATATCGGATATATGTTTTTCAAGCTGTTACGTGACAGTGGTGTATGAGAAGTAGTGGATATTGCAATATTGACAAATATATTGATTGATAATTCTCCTCAAATATCACATCCGGTTGATTATTTTTTACTTAATTTTTTCTGTCTTTTCATTTTACACGAAAATGATTTTTTTAACTCTTCATATAAGAATAAATCATTAATCAATGCAATTTTATTAATTATCACCTAAGAATAAATCGATTAGTTTTTTTTTATTTCTGTAATGTGTAAATGTCATCCATTTACACACTTTCACTAGCCACATTAGTTGGTAATGGCCACTTTAACAAGTGTGGTATTAACGAACTGGAAGCCACAAATAAACCATTAACATGTTTCGTTTTTTTCTGTTTTTTTTGTAAACCAGCCAAGCATCTGAAATATTTGTTCGGAAATTTAATTACTTTAGACTGTAAAAAAATTGTATGTACTTTGGTGAGTGATATTTTCACTTTCAATAACAATTTGTGTGTTCAAAAAAGGGAAGTCATATTTTAATTATTTTCCGGAGAATGATATATGGTTATGATGTTTGTCGTTAGACAACATAAATTATGGCCCCTAATTAAAAAATAGAAATTGTTTTATATATGATATTTACAACAAATGTATGGATGGTATTGGAGAGAATGTCATTTTGGAAAATTTAAATGATACAAATGTAATAAAAAATCGTTTAACATACTCTATGAAAATGGAATACATCTGTCGACTATATCTGGTACCTCACGGACATATTAACATTTTCTAAAAATTATCACAAATCTCATATAAAGTGAAAGATGTAGCCAATATGGTCCAAACCTGGCATATTTATTTAGGTTCGATACGAAAAGGACAATATTGATTTGAATAATCATAACAGAAGTCAAAATAAATTTAAATAATCAAATATTGGCTGAGGGTATACATCTATCGCAAAATATTCTAGATACATACTATTTTTTCTGTAGGGCCATGTTATGTTCCACGAGCGCTTGATATGTTAATTACTACAGTTGCGGCTAAATATTGTATACACCTCTTATATTATACATAAACATGGGGTTATAAATTATCTAGTTCTATTTTAGATTTTTTTAACGAAGTGATTCCAAGTTGCTTTTGTTTCACAAGTAAAAAAGCAGTAAGTTCGGCCGGGCCGAACTTTGAATACCCTCCTCCGAATTAGAAAATTTTTAAAAGAATAAAATCCATTGAAAATTCTTTTATAATCCTTAAAATACCTTATATCGGAAGGTGCCGATATATGGAGGGATATACGATATTGTGGACCTATACAGACGAATCTATGTAAAGTACTCACAAATCTATGTAAAGTACTCGCAAAGAACTCCCTCCCTCTCTTTCAGGGGGTAAAGTGCTCACAAAGAACCCCTTGTGTGGAATTTCAGACAATTCCAATGAAAAATGTCGCTATAATCATCAAAATACCGAATATCGGAGGATACCGTTATATGGGAGATATTCGATATCGTGAACCTATATAGACAACTCTATTTCAGGGAGTAAAGTACTCACAAGAACTTCATGTGTAGAATTCAGACAATTCCGTTGAAAAATGTGGCTATAATCATCAAAATACCGAATTTCGGGGGGTACCGTTATATGGAGGCTAAACGATATCGTGGACCTATAAAGACAATTCTCTTTCAGGGGGTGAAATACTCATAAGGGACTCCTTGTGTGGAATTTCAGACAATTCCGTTGAAAACTGTGGCTAAAATCATCAAAATACCGAATATCCGGGGGTACCGTCATATGGGGGCTATACGATATCGTAGACCTATATAGATAATTCTCTCCGAGGTATAAAGTACCCACAAGGAACTCCTAGTGTCGAATTTCAGACAATTCCGCTGAAAAATGTAGGTAACATCATGAAAATACCGACTATCGGGGGTACCGTTATATGTGTGCTATACAATATCGTGGACCGATATAGCCCATCTTCGAACTTGACCTGTCTGCAGACAAAAGATAGATCTGTGCAAAATTTTAGCCTGTAGCGTGATCACAACACACGGACGGACAGGCCTACAG